GTTTCTTTAGAGATCAAAAAGAATTGTTTCTTTAGAGATCTAAAATCAATTGTTTCTTTAAAGATCTAAAATCAATTGTTTCTTTAGAGATCAAAAAGAATTGTTTCTTTAGAGATCTAAAATCCATGGTTTCATCAAAGACAAGTTGTCTCATGGATGACGGATGATAAAATGTAAGATGGCCGACTCACGGCGGCGACGGTCAGCAGGTCGAACACCTTGGTGCAGCACCTCCAGGCGTTGGCGTTTCCATATTTGGTCTGACATTCATCTGAAACGAGCCATGGATCAATACTTGGGCTGAACTAGTTCCACTTGGTTCTGAGCAGCAGATCCTACCGTAGAAACCGTAGACCTGCGTTATCTGTCGGCTCTCGTGGTTTCCTCTGAGCAGCGTGATGCGATCGGGCCACTTGGCTTTAAGAGCCAGCAGGTATGTGAACGTCTCCAGACTATAGTAGCCCCGGTCCACAAAGTCCCCCTGCAGAACCAGAACCACACACACCTGAGACAGAACGTGATGCTTTTGTTTGTGTTTGTCCACACGGGCCTGAAACCTTCAGAACATGGACCGGGTTCTTTTTAACGTTCTGGTCCGGCAGAGTCGGTCTGAAATTTTTCCTGAATGTGATGAAGACTGAGGTGAAGAGGTGGGATTACCTGCAGCTGGAGACAGAACGACACAACCAAGCATGTCTTACCATGAAGATGTAGTTCGTGTCCGGAACTGGGCCTCCGGTTCTGAAGAGCTCACACAGATCATAAAACTGGACCAGAACCAAGAGACACACGTTCGTTATTTTATGAAACAACCCGGTACAGTTGGTGTCAGAACCAGAATCTGTGACCCACCTGACCGTGAATGTCTCCGCAGACAGTTACAGGCGTAGTCACGGGCTGAACGTTGGACTCCTCCAGCAACAAATCACATACGTAATCACATAATCTCTGCAGGAAACAGGGATTATAACCAGGAGAAACTGGGTTCATAATCGGGAGAAACTGGG